TGACACCTTCACATTACTCTGAATTACCACTTTCTTTTTACAAAATGCCTGGGGAGAGTTATCAAGCAGGATGGGATCATGTGCATATAAGAATAAATAAAAGAATTAGGAATGTGGCATACTTAACATATTTAGCAGACAGGGCTGCCCTGTACAACAAAATTATTTTCAGTCATAATAATTAAATGAAACAAATAGTAATAAAGGCCAGAAAAAAATGCAGGCCATGAAAACTGTGGTGCCCCCTTACATTGGGGGTCAGTGGTAGAAGACCCCATTACACTGGCGGTTAGTGAGAAGAAAGCTCCTTACATTGATGGTCAATAGAAAAAAATTTCCCCTTACATTGGGGGTCAGTGGTATAGGAACCCATTACAGTGGCGGTTAGTGAGAAGAAAGCTCCTTACATTGATAGTCAAAAGGAAGAATGCCCCGGTTAGTGAGAAGAAAGCTCCTTACATTGATAGTCAATAGGAAGAATGCCCCTTAAGATTCTCGGCGGGTTTTCGAGCCTGCTTGTAAGACAAAAGACGTGCGACCGTACAGTAGAAATGGTCGCACACCTTCCATACACCTGCCGATTGTCGTACGGCCGCGGGATTTCCCGCGATTATCGTACGATAATCGGCAGGTGTATGGGCACCTTTACATTGGGGGTCAGTGTAGAGGAACCCATTACACTGGCGGTTAGTGAGAAGAAAGCTCCTTACATTGATAGTCAATAGGAAGAATGCCCCCTTACATTGGGGGTCAGTGTAGAGGACCCCATTACACTGGCGGTTAGTGAGAATAGTCAATAGGAAGAATGCCCCCTGTTTTCCCCTGGTTAGTGGAAACAATGCTCCTTATATTAGTCAAAGGGAAGAATGTTCCCTTACATTGATAGTCAGTAAGAAAAATGCCCCAGATACAGATAACTGAAAAGATAATTGGTGTCAGTAGTGACTTATCTGGGAGGCAGAAATCGCTTAAGGCCCCTGTAACAACCCGTGGAGGAACCCTGGAGTACCACAGAACCGTAGTTGAGAAAGGCTTCATTAAATGCTTGCAATTGCTTTTCTTAGTCTTAGTGACCTATTATGAGGACCAGAAATTTGACTGGCATATAAGAGAATATATATATATATATATATA